AAAAAAAAAAAAAAAAAAAACTTCTGCAGTTGCTGCTTGTTAATTGAACCGGAATCAAAGTTTATTTTTTTGCTAGTTTGACTTGTTGTGTACTCGAAGTGATTCCTTTCTAGAATTGTTGACCTTCCAAATAGCTGTTTTTTAAATCAACTAATAAACTGAGTAAAGGCTGACCAACAAATATTTATTTTACAACTTTTTGCACTTACACGGGAGTCATTACAGAAGCAGTAAAATATTACAGCTACAGCAGTTAAGATCGGCTGAAGAAAATACCAAAGATAAAATTAAAGGTGGCAATGGTAAACGAATTTAATTCGAAGAAGGCTGAGATAACAACATGCACATAAATACAATATTTTTTTAAATTGACAAACTGATAACAAATACATAACAGACTAAAGCTGTAGAATTTTAGTAGCACAAATTTTATAGTTAAACAAATTCTCTGAACCAGCTACTGTGAAGCTAGACAGACGCATTACTTAGACCTCATGTATCAAGGAATACTGTTTAACAGTTACTTTTATTATTGACGATATCGTTAACCGTACACTTTGTAGACATTATACAGCAAAAAAAAAATAAATTTACTGTTTGTAAAGCATTATTCAGCATTATTTTCTTATATAATAATTTATAATTCAAAAAACACAACTACATACATGTATGTATCAGAAACTAATTTAAATTCTAGTATGACTATTGGTACTTTAATCTTTAATTCTATCCCTTGCAGCTATTTTTTATTTCTCATACTTCTTCATAAATAAATTACCTTTATTTCTAATGTTACACGTTATAAAAATATTTTTTTTTTTTTATTAAGTAGCCTGGTTATGGCAGTAATAGAGCGAAAACCTCTGAGGTACGAACAGGTGCACAACAACATTATTTACAAGAATGATGCCAATCCAAGTAAAGATTGATGACGAATATTTAAAGGTAATTGTTTCAGTAAAGATTGACTTGCAAAAAATTAATTAATTGCTTCGCTTGACTCATTTTTCTTGTCGCATCACTGGTATTGACTTTCATACAGCGCTAATAATGTAATAGTGCTATCAACAAGTTTTTCTTTGACATTTATATGTAGTAAAAAACAAGGACAATTGCTTTACTGGAGATAAAATATTTATATACAAAACTGTAAAATTTTAAAAATTATAAGAAATATACCTTTCTAATTTTGAACGAGAAGGATGGCTTGCTGCACGTCGTCGCACACTGCGGTAAGTTCCCGTTTTTTCTGAACGACTTTTCCTTTGTCCTGTTACACCAGCAGCTAAGCTTTCCTGCTTCAACTTCTCCACAAAACTAAACATTTGAAGTAAAAAAAAACCATTAAATAAAGATATCATTCCCAAAAGACTCTTTTAAACCAAATTGTGAAAAGTGTTATCAAAACTTCAGATTTCAAAAGTATATCATTGCTGAAAAGATTGACTGAAAAAAAAAAAGAAGTTTATGAAACAGTAATCACAGTAAACTAGTGTAATTTCTTTACCGATTAATTGTTTATTTAAAATTATACTTCTGAAACATCAATATAGTTTTTTCGACAAAATCTGTTCTTTTTCCACTTATAAATTTCAAATGCTTTTTGACATCTTTTTGAAGTATAGTCGAAACAAAAAAAGAGATAACTGGGAGAATAAAATAATTGATCTAAAAAAAATACTTTGGAACATATGGTTCGCCTTCCACTTTTATAACAGTCACCGGATAAGGACCGAAAAAAGATGTGACTTGAATATCATTTGGACTCGGACGGCGGATTTGATCGCCGGTAATGTAGTAAGCCTCTGAAGTTTCCGTTCCATCCTTCTGCGAAAAATTCTGGAATTTCTGTCGAGAGTCAAATTAGAAGTTACTCTTCAGTACCGAGATTTTAACTAAGAGAATAAAATTAGTTGATTGAGTGCTTTTTGTATAAATGTTCGTGTTCATAGGTTATCAAGCACAGAATATATGAGATCAACTACTTTTGAGTGCTGCAGCATTGTAATACTGTATATGTATAGCTAAAACGATGAGATATAATTCAGACAATGATAAAATTTTGATTATTCAAGTGTAGTATGGTTTCAAGGCTTTTCCTCTGCTAAAAAATCTCTGAAACGAAAAACATAGCAAAGTTACAGGTTGTAAAAAGCGTTATTGTGAACTGAAGCTGGAACAAAACAGCAGCAACCTTTGTTCTAATAGTTCTATAATGTCAGAAAAGCTTACTTAAATGATCAAAAACATAAGCAGTGTTGTTCATCGAATGCAAATTTGCTTGGTAAAAAAATTATTTAGCAGAACAAAAAAAAGTAAAATAAAAATATTTTTTAAAAAAAATTTTTTAAACTTTTTTTTTCTTCTTTTGATTGAAAAGTCTGCCATCATTTTTTGCTGAACCATTACCATTTAAGGTTATAAATGAACATCTTTTAAAGGTGTTTTAAAAACAAAGTTGAAATATTTAAAGTAGTGTATACTTTATTGCTAAAACTAGTCGATTAGAGTGACTCTTCGACAGTAACTGTTATTTCACTTTGAAATTGAAAATTTGATGACTACAAATATTTCTAAAATTAACTTCTAGTTGCCGACATATACAGACTGCGTTTAAAAAGCGATTAATAAATAAGAAATATTCACTGATAAAGACACAAATTAGGCCTTAGGCCTCAACAACCTTGTATTCCAAAGTTCTCAGTCTTCAGCTGAATAACGATTGATGTGAGATATAAAATAAATAAGACTTTTATCAAGATAAGAATAATTAAAAACAAATTTCAAAAGAATGTCGTTATTACGAAATGTTTCACTTTAATGACTAATGATCAAGGTCTGATTTAAAGAATCGGAATAACTGGCAGATAGAATTATTAAATTGACGAGCAAAGTTGACGAAGTGTCTAATTAACTATAGGTTATAAAGTCATTTGCGAAAATAGAGGAATGCGTACCACTGACTATATATAACCTTTTCAGACAAATCATGAATCCATATTTTTGCAATTTCAGACCACAACTTTGGCTTAGTATTTCATAAAGCAGCAGAATCCGTTACCAAAAAAATTAAAAAAGGAGAAAGCAAAAAGTAGCTTTCTGTGTCATGACAGTGCTGAAGAAAAGATGGTTTTTTTGCCATATGAGCGACTGTTTTCGACCTTTGCAGACAGTTGTACCTCATCATCTTCCAAAAAATTATCTTGTTTTTGAGAATAAATTTCACATTTGAACAAAAAAGAAAAAATTTTTAAAGCTGTTTAAGTCGCGTCTTTTTTTTCGCAAAACCGAAGTTTTAAAAAAAATTACTACTGAAAAACAATTTTCAAGAAAACATTTAAGATAGTTAACATAATAAGCAACAAAGTTGTCCAGAAAGTTGTCAAACAAAGTTGTCCAAAGCTTTTATCCAAAAAGGGAAAAAAGAAGAAATTTTCTCAAAAATTGAAAGGTATGATAAATCAGAAATGCAACCTTGACTAGAATTCCAAAATAGAGACCTTTAGAACCTGGCAATTCACGAATCCAATTGATCGTACCATTTCGATAGTACTGTGGCTGTGGACCAGAGGATAACTGCAAAAACTGTTGAGAAGTTATGCACAAATCAAAGTGAGTGGAGAAAGAGAGCAGAAATATGAAAGTTTTTATGATGACGAAACTTTGTGTCTTGCAACAATGGTTTACATCTTTTGTAATTTTGTAAACAACTGAAGCGAATGAACCTGAACAAGAACTTCGTCACCAATTTTTAAACTTTCAACATATCTGAAACCAATACTGTTGTTGAAAAAAGCCAGTCGAGCTACAGGATCTGTGATTGCCCTCAATATGTTTAGCTGATAAACACTAAGTTCACGAATCTGTAATTCCAAAGAAAAAAACTATTCTAGTAAGGTAGAACTAAAGTTTCAAATTTGATGACACTAGGTGAAATATCATCACACTTATACAATAAGTTTCACACAATGGAAAAGCAAGAAGTTCCGATGGAAAAGAAATATTACATACCAAACTTGCAGAAACAATGATTCCAACATTAGCAACTTCTAAAGATTGCAAGTATGCTGGATCTTGAACACTTTTCATATCCTCATAACATCTTTCCAGTTGTTTTGACAGCTTTCTGCCAGATACCTCAGACAGACACCGCAAAAGACTTCCTTCGTCAAGCTGTAAGTAAACCTGTTATAATTGCTTCTTCAGATTTTCTTTTTTTCTTTTGCTCATAACAATTTGTGATTATTCGTGGTTAGTAACTTTCTAAAATCAACCAACACGAAGTTAACCATGCAATGATAGAAGTTTAAAGTAAAACAGCATTGCAAAAATTACATTTTAGAGCATGTTGCAACAATTTATAAACTTTTTATAAGTTATCAAAATCCTCACGTGAACTGTCTGAGTAAACCGTTCAGAAAGTTCATCGTAGAATCTGCCGTCAGCATCTTTGAGAAGAATAAAAGCTTCAAAATTTTCATTCATCAAGATTTACTAAACCGCCGCTCACTGTAATTTAACATCGTTATTGTAAACAGAAGTGTATCAAGGCATTCAATTCTCATGCGGTCTTAATGACAGTGGTAATCAGTAAGAAAAATAAATTAAAAAGCCTTTTTTATTATATTATTAGAAGAACTGTTTCAAAAAACATATTTATTTTACACCGAGCAGAGGCTTTGATATAAGATAGAGGAAAGAAATGTACTGAATAATGTGACATCATTATACGTCTTCCCTATCCTCTTGCAGTCTAGACTGTCCAAAAATGCAGCCTTCTTGCTTCTGATATAGATTTATCGAAAACTTCTTGCTATAGCTGTTAAGATAAGTAAATAGTATGCAAAATATGCAGCTTATAAATTGATAAAAGGCAACGATTTATGCATGTAAAAATATCAGAAAGTATACTTTGGATCCTATCGGGATTTTTGCAGCAAACAAAATTCCGATCTTTGATTACATAGTCGTACAGACGCCTTTTAAAGGTTTAACGAGTTGCGTAAAGTAATGATACTATGGTACTCTTCAGAAATAGTTTTCTTTGACTAATAGTAATACTTTTATATAACGAAAGTGTTTCACTTAATCACAGTATAGTTCTCTTTTAGTACCCAGAGATTTTCCATAACTGACAAGCGTATCTTACCACTTCAATTAGTCTAGATACAACAATTGCTGAGGTTGATCAGCTTAGTAAATCTGTTAAGCTCTTTGATAAAACAATTATAATTTTAAAACTTTTTCAGATAGTTATCCCTGTGTTAATAAACAATCTCATTAAAAAACCTAATCAAAATTTTATCAAAACATTCAAACAGTGTCTTTTCGATTTCTCTTTGCCTAACAGTTCAAATTTCTTTAATATTTATTTTACTTTTTTTAGAATCAGATATTCATAAACCAGAATATATTCTTGTAGCAGCAGTCAAGTTATCTGTCTGTCAATAATTAAATAAATGATAGTATAAACTTCATTCCAATATTTGATTATGCTTTTTGGAATTCATTTTCTTCTCTTACCAATCTTCTAGTTAGATACTCAAAAGTCTTCAGATTTCTCTGTGTAACTTTCAAATGTTCTCAGTTGCTCGACGCTCTCATTTCGCATTCGCTGTTTCCGTTTGCTTCTGTCTTGCAGAAGACCGATTGTTTTACATTATAAACTTAATAAAGAAATTCTCATCCAACTCCATGGCAACTTATTACATTGACAATCTCTACCAGCTTTTCATCGATGAAAAAAACAAAAACGCAACATTACTTTTTTTTACCGCTTTGAAAATCCCAATAGCAAAGAAGATGAACCACTTCGTAAAGGAATCATACGTCAAATATATTTAAAATATATATCGTTTATCAACGACAGGAGAAGAAAGATGTGTAAAATCAAAAGGATTACATGTATTTACATGTAAACACCAAACGCTTCATCATGAAGTGATAAATTTTATACTGCAACAAAAAAATTTATGAATTTTTTATTCTGAACGATAGCTACTGACCTTTAATAAATGTTCAGTTGTAGGCCGGCTATTCGTACCTGTAACAAGCAATTAATAATCGTATTATTTTGATGCTTGTAACTTAACGCTAGCATTCAGTAGACCTTAAAGTTGAATAGCCAAAAATAGATACGAAGACGAAACGAGAAGAAAGAAAGTAGTTAAATCGATAAAGTTCTGAAAATATTTGGTGATACATAACAGTTTTTACTTTTTTTGCCACACTTATCAAACCTTTGCCAAACAAACCCATTGCCGTGTAAAAGCTTTGATGTTTGAAGCGAAATGAAAAAGGAAATTTTTCCTATTGAAAGCATATGTCAGATATGTCTTTAAAAACTTATTTTATGTTGATTAATCATACAAAAGCCTATTATAACAAGCCAAGAAAAATAAATATTGCCTTACAAGACTAACTAATATTGTCATAGTGCCGATAGTTATTGTTAAGTTCTAAAAGCATACAGTGTCGTAGTGATATATAACCGAGGAAGCAGTACTACTCCTGAATCTTATCAAATTTTCAAAAAAAAAGTATTGATAAAGGTTTTTATGAAGACTTTTGGAATTGAATCTAGATACCAAAGGCAGATCCATCGGCAGTAAAGAGTCGAAAAACAAAAAAAAATTCTACTATTGAAGTTCCGTGATTAAAAAAATTATGTGGCTGAGGCGTTGCTATCTGACAAAATTACCAAACTGTTAAAATAAAATTGTTGTTTTTTTTCAGCGACTTATGACTTCGTTTAATCTCAAAATTTTTTTCTTCAAAACGCCGAAGGTAAAAATTAACATTTTGTAATGTGACAACTTTACCACTCCACTAAAATAAATGTTTACAGAGCTATTATAAAAGTTAGAAGTTTGCGTTTCAAGTGCCCTTAGTTACCACACAGTTTCCAGCAAAAAATAATTGAGTCAAATTTTTCAAAACAGTACTTTAAAGAAAATCCCTTAGAAAATCAGCTAAAAATAAAATTGAAAAATAAAATGAATGCTGCAAAATCTCATGCCTGAGCCTTTCAATTTTTTCATAATATTCAACTTGGTCAAGACGTGAACTTCTATGTTATCTCATAAGAATATTACGTTGCTTCATTTTGCCAGCCCATGAAAATTTCTTTCAAAATTATTTTTACCTTTCAAGCTTA